ATCTGCGCTGAGTGCTCTCCCGTTAATAGCGAACCGGTTCCTTCTCTTCGTCGGATAGGACGAGTAGGTTCCTGATGATTGCCGATCCTCTACCGGGTGTCCCGTACAGCACTGTCAACGCCATCCGCAGCTTTGCGTTCAAAGAACGGATTATGTGCCTGTCTCAACACGTCGTATGTATCGGGTGTGCTCATTTGGACTCTAGATCGCTACCGTAGTCCAGTTCTTCCCCTTTAAAACCAAGGAGGTCAAACAAGACCGACGAAATGGTTGGCAATGCCATGTATGACGCGCTAAACAAGCCGCGAGGTTACTGTTCGCTAATAGCCTCGATGAGGTATGTATTCGATTAAAGTTGTTCAGTAACGTCAGTATGGTGGGAAATGGTCTAAAGGGGTCATAAAAAATTTATCTCCGTTGAGGGATATACCTTGTCTACGTGATGTATAATCTCAAGTTTATCTGTGATAATTAATGATGTAAGCAACCTCATTCATCCAATGATGACAAGTCGCTGTGCCATCTATCATCTGAGATTGATGTGTTAATTAGTGTAACCTGAGTATAAGGTAATTGAATGAGATTTATTACAAATTAACTAAGAAATAAAAAGTTGTTTCCACTTGTGCTCTTCGATTGACACGTACCTATGATCGACGATAGTAGATCGTCACGAAAGAGACCAGCTTTAAGCGTATACTTGAATGCACATGGTGCGTACTGTCATATAAAGCATCGAGCCCATTAACCAAAACTGCAGCTCTACAAGCGTGAAGACACTATAAGTCATGTTTGACTAGCTTTAAGAGTTACAAAGTCTTCATCTATAGAACACTTAGTGCAGTAGAACCAAACAACTCCTATAGTCGTAAGTCGTTATCTGAATAAGAGCTGCGTAGCTCCACTATAGCATTAGCTTGTTCATCCCTCTTATGAACATATATTCGAGTGAGCGGGAGTCTTTATATTTTACCCTCTCGGAAGACTAGCAGTGCGCTCCGCCTATTTCAACAAAAATGAACTAGTTGTAGCAGTTAATAAGCATGCCGTTTAATGCATGAAATCCATATTTGACTGCAAGAACTTCCATAAGGGACTCGTGATATACAATCTCTATGTCTACTTTGCATGCTATTAATACGAGGTTATATCGCGCAATGATAGGATGAGGAACATCATGGTACGTAAAAATTTGTAAGAAATCGTGCATTGCAATTAAACTTTTTACACGCCTCTCGTGCACTTAACGCGAGTAAACACGCTTCAATATAGATCTATAGATTGAAGCATGTGATATCACACTCGCGCAGATACAGTTGCACGACTTGTAAGGCCGGGTAATATACTGCTTAATTGATCAGACTTTTATAGTACGGGCACGATTGTGAGCATCAGTGGACTGAAAACTTTAAGTCTGCTAATAGTTTAACTTGGATAGGGCCAACCTTTGCGCTGGATATCTGACCGAACAAAATTGTTTCTGACTCAGATAATGACACAATTACATGTATAAACAGGTAAACGTAATATTCTCTCCCATTTTCATGCCGTTAAATGAGCCAAAAATGAAGTGTCAATCCAAATGAAACTTTGTACTTAGAAAGCTATTAGTGGAATCACGGTTTCTCTTAACAATTTGTTATGCTAGTTTTAATGTTGCAACCGTGCACAATTTTCCTGTATCCTGCTGTGGAATAAGATTTACGCATATATTTCGTGTAAATATTATTATAAATCGACTGATCAAACGATCGAGATCACTGTGAAATGGCAGAGTTTGCTAGAGGGGATCGAATTTAATCGGTTAAAGAGGACAATGATTCTTAATGCAAAACCATGGGAAGTTTTTACCTGATTGGACGGCTGTGTGACGATTTGACAGACGGGAAAGGAGAAACAGACGACAATGCAACATAGCGGACGTGTATTTTGCAATCTCGGACCAGAATGTTGCCGTGAAGGATGGGAAAAGGGGATACAGAAAACAAATGTGGCAGGTGGAAAGAAGGGGCAATACGGTTGCAAGGTGGGACCACCGACTGAGATGAACAGACAGATCGCATCTGATTCTTGCATGGTCAAGTTGCAGTGCCGTTAGGGTACTGTTTTGGTAGTGTGACTAGCGATTATATGAATGAATACATTTTCCTTTTAAAATCAGCAATTTTTTGCACTAGTTCAACAACTCAACCATGAAACTTTTTACAGAATCTGAAGCACCACATCGGTTTTGTGCCCCTGTCCTTATCTAAAGCTAAAACCGTTCCTTGTTACACTAAGATTAAAAAGTAGCTAGATTTATTGCGATCCCGAAGACTAGAGCTATTCGTGCCTGTGTACAAGTAACTTTTGAACAGTACTTGTACATGTTTCCGTATCTGTGTGTAAAGAACGCTTCTTGTATCCTGATCATTGTCAATAGTGCGACACAACTTGAGCCTTCCTCATAGATGGCACTCTTTCATCAGGTCGCTTATTGAAACTGCGAAGTGTGTAGTGTTCACACTCGCACGCGGTTTACTAACAAGTGACAAAGGGCGGACATAAGGGTAACGAGCAAATGCTGGACACTCATCAGCAGCAAAATGTTCGCGCATTTAGTAACCAGTAAGTGTGGTTTTCATCCAAAATAATTGAAATAGTAAAAGATATTGCGCCCCGAAGGGTAAAAATATTAGTAGCTGTGTGCAAGATATTTGTGGAATTTTAACGTCTTACTTGCCTGTGTGTAAATAACGCGGCTAGGTCTACCTTGCACATACCAAGTGCGATCTAGCCCGTCCCGTCCTTATAGGTATATATTCAATACCGAATAACTCATACGTTTGGTAGAGACAAATTTAATAAATTAGCTGAGTTATGAATTAATTTAAATCCGATTATCATTTCTTGTGAAAAGGAAAATTTAGTAGAGTGGCGGTTTTCATTTGAAATTTATACATAACTACGTCCCATGGACTGTCACCAATGCACAAAGGCTGGTGCTTTGCCAGCACAAGGCCAAGAATATAAATATGAGCCAAAGTATTCTGACAATCGAGCCTATGATAAATTTGTGTCTTAAATCCTTTAGATCGATACCTCTATCAAAATCAAGAAGCGTCCTGATTTTTAATATGTTGACAGAAGACGAACCCCTGAAATCCCGATAGGAGCTTACAATTCAAAGCTAAATGAAGACTTGTCAACCTAGGTGCTCTAATACCGAACAAGGAATATTTACCAATCTATAAATCATTGAGGTCAAGGCTAGGTATATCTGGACTCCTTAGCCTACCTAAGAACACCATCAAGCTCTCCAGTGGATAGTATCACCGCTTCCAGCAGCGTAACAAGCTGCGCAGCGTCAGGATTTACGGTAAGAGTCAATCAGCAAATGAAAAACTCACTGATGCAATATAGCCTGGACTTCGGGCTGTAATGCTCGCCATGAACCCGAAGATGTTTTTAACATGAACAAAAAATGTGTGAGATGTAAGAAATAGTTAATTAAGGCTGATGTTCTACATTACTGACAATGATTTAGACCCTCTATCGACAAGATTTAGAGAAGACGATTCAGTAAAAAGTGATTGAGGGTTTCATCAAGGTATAAAGTCAGAATCGAATTAATTATCAGCAAACAATGAGGCAGAAATTTCACAGCTCAAAAAGAGTTTACTTCATTTTTTGTTTAGGTACTGATCTCTGTTGCCTTCACAACCAATGTGGATTATTATTTTAGATGTCCATCTGTATGATTACCACCACTCAGAGCACCCTAATGTATGTTTTACTACTTATGTACATTTAGACACTTATTCCCCCTTTAACTAAGCTCTGTCGAGTAGGAACATGAGCTCCTTAGCTTAGGAGCATAATCGTATAATTTTTGTCCCACGAAAAACTCATAAATTTTTGATTGTTATGAGTTACGTGTTAGGAGTTAGCGACCATGGAACGAGTGTGGTGGAACGTAATTTGTATGAGTCATACAAGTTATGTGTTATCCGAGGAATGACTGGATAAGTATCCTCAAAGTTACTCTTTGGCTCGGTCACTATTGGGGCGCACGCTTGTGATTGGCTTCAAAACATTCTAAGTGAACATATCCACGTAAGCAAATGCTAGACGCAGCAAAGGCTGATCACGTTGCTCTAGCACTAGGTAACTATAGAAATTGAGAGCACCATACTCATTCTCCAGTAACTGCTGCTGTTGCACAGCGCTTTGCAACTTAATTAAGTTCTTCGAACTGGATTACTCGTATCAAAGGGAGAGCTCCAGAGCTTGCTCCCCTATCTTTTTAGATGTTACATATCATCGCCACAGCTTCTAATCAGCACTTGACGGGTTCAACCATGTTCCAAATTCAAGAATTGATTTTGTTGGTCACAGCTCGTATCTCAACCTACCGTTTTTCAGGTCCCCAGAACGTTTTCGAAGAGACACTGCTTGATGCCCAGCGCCTGCAACTAAATTAAACACTTCACGTTTATCTTCGCCTTTAGCTTCACTATGTCCTACTATATTTGTGCGTTCAATGCCAATTACATTTGTCTTCTTATCCCATGCGGTTTTTCTTCTAATAGCCACAATGGCTGTCGCCAGCTTCAAACCCGCCCACCCTAGCGCGACTTGCAAATAAATGGCGCTAACTTGCAGCAAAACAAACGACTGCTTGGTTAAATCAGAAGCAAAGAAGGGTATGATGCAAATTAAACACCTTCATTCGACGCCTCTTTGGCGCTTGAAACAGCCTGTTGTGCTGAATGGGCTGATCGCCACTTTATCAGTTACTACACCATTGGCTACACATCGGCTCATTGCGCCGAGACTTGCTTTGCTTTTTTCCAGAAAAATGCGAGGCGAGGTCCGTTCCTACATCGCCTTCGTAATTCCATCTGTCCAATCACGTGTCGATCCTTTCAACGTCGTCCAATCGCCGTTGTCGAAATCGAGCTGCAAGCGAGTCGCAGCATTATCACTTCCGCCTCACCGCGTGACAACTACTGCGGACTATGGCCGCTACCGAAGTCGACGACAACGTGCAGCTCAAGTTCCTGTTCGCGAACCAGGACGGTGTGCACCTGCAGCTTAGCTTCCCCAAGACGGCCACAGTGGCACAAGTCAAGACGCAGCTCATGCGCAGCTGGCCACAGAGTACGTGACAGCAGTAAGCTCGACAATCCCTCACCCGGTAACTCATGCGAGTCTAATGATTTTTCAGGTGTACCACCTGCCGAGGAAGCCAAGGCTGTTCGTCTCATCTGCATGGGACGCGGTATCTTGCAAGATGCGCAGACAGTGGGGTCTGCTGTTCCGACGTTTGACACGCATCCGACGCCCGTGAACGTCTCAGTAAACCATTCGGTGCAGCCGGCGGCGCGAGGTACGCGCGCTCTGCTGCGGAAGGTCCGCCGCATGGTGGGGAGCTAGCTCGCTGACTGTTGCTGCTGCTGGTTGTTTGCTCCAGAAGCCTCACGAGGCCTTACTCCTGCAAAGTCGGTGGAGTCGGCGGGCTGTGGCTGCATTGTCTGTTGAAATCGATGGAGCGACAAGCTCGTTTCGACAACGATGTGCACAACAAACCAACAGATGCCGCTCTCTCGCTCTCGACTCCCTCCTGTTTAGCACTAAGTTATTCAAAAGGCATGAGCTAGTTCACAAAGAATCCAACTGTATTGCTTGGATTGTTGTCCTTAGCAAAACGGTTGCTGGCAGATTGGACACTTGTTCTTCCCCGACTGGTTGAACCACTTGTACAGACACGAGTTGTGGTACTTGTTGTTGCATGTCTTGCAGGGCAGCGAAGGCAGACCCATGTTCTTGGGGTTCAGGATCGAGTAGCAGATCGGACATGGCTCCACACCCTCGAACTCCTTGTCCACATTGTGTTTCCATAGCAGCACAGCGTCCAGCAGTGAGCCATCGCGAGACGATGTCACGCGGATAATCTGTAGCACCCAGCGTCGCCAGCGGTGTTCGGATATGCCAATACGCTTCGTGCATTCGACCTCGACGCAGCGCAACGGGTATGAAGGTGGCACGCGCACCACCATTTCTAGAGCACACTCGTCCTTGATATAAGTAGTCGTGATCTCCCGAGATACACGACTACCTTTCACCGTCATTTCTTTTTCATCCCATGATTCGCCAGCAAACGATGTATTGTCGCTAGCCTTCTGAATAAGCCCCAACTCTGCTGCAAGTACCGAAGGAGTGATGTAGTCTTCAAAATACTTGGCAGCCCAGCTCCGTGTCGCACGCGAGCAATCATCGTTCCACCACGACCGTACCATCGCTGGAAGGCGCACTACCGTGCGAAAGAAGACGCGAGTACCAAGTTCGAAGACACGCGCTTTGTCAAGACTCCAGATCTCATCCTCCTCGCACTTTTCCATGTCAGCCACAACAAACAGCACCGAGTCCGGCAGTTCTGAAGTTGTTGATTTCGATGAACACTGTGTCGCTTGGGACAAAAGGGCTGAGCTGAAATTTAAGAAGTTCGTGAGCATCCCATGGCGCGCGACGTACGAACTTAGCGCTGACGCAATCAGCGTGGCAGAGACCTCGTTGCTTTCCCTGACGCTCCCCTCTTTCCTTAAACTCGAAGGAAATAGTTGTAGGAACAGATCCCAAAGCAACAGCTTTCCCGTGGTGTCTTCCTGCTCCTGCATCTTTTGCTTTCGGCTGCGGCGGCGGACAGTCGAAGGACTCGTTTCACCGGTTTTGTCAGCAAACACAGCACGCAGCGATGCACGTAATGCTTTAGGTATGTATACTCGTGCCAGGGCGGACTCTGTCGCTACCTCATCTTCAGCATTTACGTCAATTGCACTTGTGTCGTAATGGCGTAAGCGGAGCGCGCCGCTATACGATGAAAGAATATACAGCAATACGCGCAGTGGTGGGTGCATAGGATACTGCTCTCCGTTAAAGAGTGATGCTAGCGTATCGATGCCACCGAAAGACTCGAGCATAAGTCGGTTCACGTGATCGACATCTTGAAAACACGGAAGACTTGCGCGCAAAGCCGGTAGCACACGCTCGAGCAGTTTGTTGACGTTGAAGCTCAGATTTGCAAGCTGGAAGCACTGTGACGGAGATGCCACTGACACGTACGTTGTTACGATACTTGCCTTTAGCTCGGCACATTCAGAAAACCCACAAAGCACTGTGGACAAAACAGCATCCCGATAGTGCGCAGCGAGCTCCTGAAGCGCGTCAGGGTTCGCGTTGCACATCGCACTTACAAGTTCCATGAAAGCTATTCGTGCAAGGACCAGCTCAGCAGGGTAGGAAAGCACAATTTGTTCCTGATCGCCTTTAACGATCCTACGGGCGCCCAGAATCGAGCTCCGTTTTTGAATTCTTAATGCCACAATCTTAACGGCATCTGACTTCCCCGCAACCGTATTCGTCACAATCAATCGTGCCAGCTTTTCCCACACCTCGCCAAAGCCTGACGTTGCACTTTGCAAGTACACCGAAAGGGACCCCACGTACTCAGTCAGAGCAATCCACTGATCAGTTTCCACAACCGTTTGTGAGCTCGGAAGTAGCATCTCCACGAGTCGCTGCATAATCGACTCTTGACTCGACAGGTTGATGCATTCCGTGACAAGGCTGGAAGCGATCAAATTTCTTTCTGCTCGTTTGACTGCTTGCGATACCAATCTCAAATATTCAAAGAGCACAGACGCCGGCTTCCCGACAACATCATGATTGCACAGAGCAAAAAGCTCTTTCAGTACTCCAATTACTTCGCTACTATCTTCCTCTTTCGTGTACGTTGCAGTCAAAAGCGAAATGATGATGGTTTGGGTAGCTTCCAACGTCCAGTCACCCTTTCGATCCACCAACTCTTTGACGAATGACACTCGTGCCGCAATCGAGCTGAAACTCGATAGCACTCCTATCGACATCTCATCCAGCTTTCTGTGTTGTTCTAGAGAAAGCAAATTCTGATCCTGGCTGGAAGTAGCAAAATCTTTGTTCTTGTCCAGAAATACCATATTGCGATATTCTACGAGTTCACGCGTGTGTTTGCTCTGGCACGTCACAATTACATCCGCAAGTACCTTGTCGATAATCCCGGGCGACGATTTCAGTGCTTCATACAAGTGGTCCATGGTCAGATAACACTCTATTGCCTCTACCAAATCAACGCTCCTCTGTAGGTAATCGTTGGACTGAAATATTACCCACGTCAAAGCATGAGTGACATCCAAATCCACCAGCTTCGCAACAAGTGCAACTGCCAAACCTTCATTTTTGGATGCCATAGCGTTAATATAAACTTGCAAGGCATCAACCACTTGCTCATCCTCGCAGGCTTCTCCCAGTGCCAATAACACTCGGCTGTAAAAGAGAGTTTGCCGAGAATCATCGAGACATCTCAAGTTCACAGCATCCAACTTTTCCATCAACTGCGGCACAGAAATAAACCCCTGGTCTGAAGCAATGCGCACGTAGCTTTTGACGTACGCAGCATACTGCTTGGTGTTAAACGACGTAGTCTCCGCTGGCAAATCAGCGAGAAAAAAATCGTTGACTTGTTTAGCCAGCCCATTTACAAACATCTCCGTCCGCGATATTGTCTTCCATTTTTTGAGAGAGCGACGCACAGTTTGTGCCCATAACGCACTCACTTTAGCCCGATAGCTTCCCCTAGCCGAAAGATGAAATAGGAGCGTGTATAGTTGGCTCTCAACTGCTTCAAGTTCAGCAGGAAGCTCACTATTCAACTTCAAGAACAGCTCACAAAGGTGTGTCAGTATTTGCACAGTCACTGCGTCGGCCCCGTCGCTCGCTTTTTGCAGCACGAAGTGACACAGAATCACCACTGCATCAGAACTCACGACAGGGAAATTGCACGAGCCGCCGAGGCACGATTTTAAAAGAGTAACAAACATATCACTGTTCAAGTCGTCATACCGTCCCTTTAAGCTAATTATCAAAAACTCGTCAACCAATTTGCCTTGCCAAATAGCTTGAAGTGTCTTCAGTATCGAATCAGATTGATCGATTACCAATGCACCACTATCATCAATATTTTGCCAACTTGCACATGACAGCCACAACTTTACGCCAAGTTCAGAAATCGGGAATTGCAGCCCGTACTGAATGATGTCGATCGCTTCTTTCAAGTCTCCAAACTGAACGTTGCAGTCCTGAAAAAGCTGCAGCAAAAATTGTCGCTTCTCCTTTGCGGCGAGAAAAAATGGCTGTGTGAGCTCCAACGCCGTACGCATTGTGGTTACGACACCTGCCGCGGTAGCTAATTTCTTCCAGCTAGCAAGTGCTCGGAGAACGGGGCGATAGTGGACATCGAAATGACTCTCGATCGTCACACCGGCCTCACCCAAAAGCACATCTACTGGATGAGCTTTGCAAACGCCGTTAAGTGCCGCCAATACACGTACTATCGATGCGTTCTTGTCCGGCGAAAACGTCAGTTCCCCCATTAATGCATCAACCTGACTGACGCATTGTTCATATAACTCCTTACTTGTCAATAACCACTGTGCAGCCTCAAGGTCTTCACATTTGTCTTCAGCACCAGAAAGACCTATGCCGACAAAAGTAGCTACTCTAGAAGGTACGAATGATAGCTCCGATACCATTGCGCTTACAGCTTTTCTTGTCCACACGTGGACTTTCTCCGTGAAGTCATCCTTCAGTGTATTGACCAAGATTGACTCCGTCGAAAAACTGCGTAATCGGCTGCTCATCTTATGCATGCAGCTACCGAATACCGCCACTTCTGCTTCCGGAAACTCTGGTGAGCTGAGCGTCTTTTTTAGCGAACACACGAATACATTTTCAAATTGGTTCACGTAATTGGACGTAGAAAGTTCAGCATCTTGATCACTTAATTGCGCAACCATCTTCTGATCGTTCAAGAAAATACTGAAACATCCGGTGATACATTCGAAAAATGCTGTGATTGCAGGGGACTCACAGAATCGCGCATTTGTCGAGTCCATAAATTTCCAGCATTGCTCTAGTACCCCTGTGTATAATACAGATCGACGAGTGGAGAAATCCACTGCAACGCCCAACGGTACCATCGACAAGAACGGCAACAGCATTGGGAAAGACGCACGACCCGACCCGTAAAACCCATGTCTAATTTGTGAAAATAACCGCGGGTAAACCACATTCACCATAAATTTATGGATGCCAGGGCTTGAGCTCCAAACGTCTGGAAACGTTTGCAAAAAAGCAATCACGGCATTCCACATCGCAGCGTGGTTTGAAGGGCATTTGTCGTGAAGCGTCCCGAGTACCACCTTACCGAACGCTTCTTCCCGTGCAGCAACAATGGTCTTGGCTTGCACACATAGTGTCGCCAGCGTGACGTACACTGCTCTTCTCACGACACCACGAGAAAAATTCATGTGCTTTGATGACGCACTTGCAAGACTCAAAAAGTGTTCCGACGACACAACCGTAGCTACTGAGCAGCTCGAGTCTTCGGCACTCAGCACAGCTACCATTTGCTGTTCGACACAGAAGCGAATCACGGCATCAATGCTCAGCACTGCAGCAGAAACACACCGTTCATATCGCTCTTCCTTCTCATTGTCTTGAAGCTGCACGCCGTCAAACGTGTCTGTTGTTTTCCTAAAGAAGCCTTGGAACTCCTCCATTATAGCCGCAACGTGCATCCTCAGCACATTCTTCTGCATGTCTGCGTCCGGAAACAACGTGTCGAACGCTTTCTTAGCCAGCACGGCCACGTCTGCACGGACGTCATGCATCGCCAAGTACCAGTACGGCAACAGCCGTTGCAAGTGCGGCGCGAACGCTCTGGGCCGCACCTTGTCCGCCAGAGCAGCCAGCACCTCATTAAGCAGCTGACGGACCTTTTGGTCGTTCTGGTCCCGCATTTCAAACGTGTAGAGCTGCGTGAAGTGGCCGAGCATGGGGCGGAGCTCGGCCGGCTGGCGGGGCGGCAGGACCTGGTGTACGAACGTCTGCAGCGCCTTGATCTTGGTCACCACGCCCTTCTTGGCCAGCATCTTGAGCGCGAGCGCGATCTCATGATCGGAACCGTTGTAAATGCTCTGCACAAGTGGCGGGCCGGGCTGGAGCGGAGCTTGGACGGCGGGATGCACCGGTGCCGGCGCAAAGCTCGAGAACCCGACGAAGCCCTCGACGCCGCTGATCGTTGCACTCGTCAGAAGCGACTGGTGGGCGCGTGCGCTGGACGACGCGCGACTCTGCTCCTGCTTCTCGCGCTGCTTGTTCTTCTTGGGGGCCATGGCGCGCTAAGGTGGTGGTGGTGGATTCCAATGTGGCTACAGGAGTGATGGTCGATCCTTGTCGCACGGGTATGTGGATGTGTGTGGACCACGTCAATACCGGCAAGAGCACGACCTCGATGCGGATTGGATGAAAAGAACAATAACTGCAGGAGAAGAAGAGGGAGGGAGGAGGAGCAGAGATGTACCCATCTCTCTTTTGCTTGGCCCCTCATTCTCCGAAATCGATCATGCGTCGCGCACATGTGCTCAAGAGCCTCGCGCGCCACGCCCAAGCCGCTCGTTGCCCGCCCACGAGTCAGAGACGTGCATTCGTGCTTCACCACCAGCATCCGTTGACGCTCCGGTCGTTCTCTGCTGCGATTCCGAAGGCGTCAGAAGAGGACGCGTCGATTGCTGTGCAAGTGATGGACGAGACCGGAGAAGGCGACGAAGACGAGGAGGAGAACGAGATTGGACGCAAATTGAAGCCCCGTGAGGTCGTGGAGCAGCTGAACAAGTACATTGTGGGCCAAGCTGACGCCAAGCGCGCTGTAGCCATTGCGCTGCGCAATCGCTGGCGACGTCAGAAGATCTCGGATGAGCTGCGCCATGAAGTGAGTCCTAAAAACATTCTGATGATTGGCCCGACGGGCTGTGGCAAGACGGAGATTGCTCGACGACTGGCCAAGCTGTCCGAGGCCCCTTTTGTGAAGGTGGAGGCGACCAAGTTTACTGAAGTGGGGTTCCACGGCCGCGACGTGGACCAGATCATTCGAGATTTGGTGGAGAACGCGATCAACATGGTCAAGAAGGCTCGTAAAGAACGACTGCGCAAGCAGGTGCAGCATCTCGTGGAGACCCGTATTCTCGATGTGCTCACGGGCACGAATGCTTTGGAGCGTTCGCGCGCCACGTTCGCGCGGCTGTTGGCTGCTGGCGAACTGGAAGACCGGATCATTGAATTTGACGTCCCTGCTGCCAAGAATACCGGCAATCAACCGATTTCGTTTGTCGGTGGTGAAGGAAAAGGGATATCCATGGAGGTGTTCGGTCGGGCGTTTGGCGAGAAAAAGAAGGAACGCAAACGCATGACAATTGCCGAGTCGCGTGCCGTGTTTGAAGAGATGGAGATGGATAACGCCATCGACATGACGGACGTCGTGCGTGAAGCTATCCAGGAGACAGAGGAGAATGGGATCGTGTTTATCGACGAAATTGACAAGATCTGCTCTAGCGGAGACTTCCGCCGCTCTTCAGACCCGAGCAGCGAAGGGGTGCAGCGTGATCTGCTGCCGCTGATTGAAGGCAGTGTCATCTCCACAAAGCACGGCAATGTGAACACGGATCACATACTGTTCGTTGGATCTGGTGCTTTTCACTCTTCAAAACCGTCGGACTTGCTCGCCGAGCTGCAAGGTCGCTTGCCTATTCGTGTTGAGCTGAAGGGGCTGACGGAGGAAGACCTGCACCGTATTCTGACGGAGCCCGTGACAAACCTCATTAAGCAGCAGATTGAGCTTATTAAGACGGAGGGCGTTACGCTAGACTTCACGGAAGATGCCGTCCGTGAAATTGCTCGTGTAGCTGCGGAAGTCAACCAGACGGTGGAAAATATCGGTGCCCGACGATTGCACACGGTGGTCGAGAAAGTGGTGGAGGACATTAGCTTCGACAGTTCTGAGATGGCCCCCGGTTCCACTGTGACCATCACGAAGGAATTTGTGCTTGAGCGTGTTGGCAAGCTTATGAAGACGACGGACCTTTCGAAGTTTATTTTGTAGACTTGTAGAAGGAGTCGGCTTTCTCGAAACTGGGCCCCATCACTGGAAGATGAATCGTGTGTGCTAAACTGCGTTGCTTCATACCAGCCTTTGTGTTCTCTGATAGGAGCATTGACGACGCTCGCACAGCGACTTTGTGCGTCAAAGTCTCGTGGCTGCATTGCCTGTGTGTAGTATTGCCACTTCTCCGTGGCTGGCCAGCTCACCAAATCTCAATCTCTTCTTGAATACGCTGAAGCTCTAGTTTCGGCAACACCGTTGTGCTACCGCCTTGACGGAGGCCATCTCGAGTAATCGCGGCCTGCAAAGTAAGAATACGCTGAAGAGCAGCGACGTAGGTTGCATCCAAGCCCTCCATCAATGCATCCATGACATCGTCAGCGTCGCTTTTGCTGACCGCTTCATCAGGAATGACAAATGTCGTAGAGTCTTGCATGAGGCTATCATCGTCAAGCGCGTACTCGCGCACTTGATGCTGGTTCAAGGCGTGGCACGGTGTGTAGCAATAGCGAAGACCGATGGGGCTTTCCCACCACGCAGGAAGTTGGGTCCAACCTGATGCCGATGTGGACGCTAAGCTGGTGGCAATTGCCGCTTCGGTTGCTAGCAATGGATGGTGTCTGACCGCCCTACTAGACCGCAATGCTGCGATCAAACGCTCTAATAGCTCTTCTCGATCACCTGCTACACCATCAGACTTCACGTTTTCGGCAAGAGTTAGCATCTCAGCGCCGCAGTGGCACAGATCTTCGACAGGACCTATCTGAAGCTTTACTTTCTCACGATACTCGCTGCTCGCCATGAACTTAATCCACCGCAATGTCATCTCCACCTCACTCGTCTCAACCGTATCATCATCTTGTTTGTCATGTCCTTTTGGCCCTTCGGCATCTTCACTCGACCAGCGAGACTGTCTCGGTGGACAAATAACGTCGAATACTGTTTGACATAACGTCGCTAACAGCGACGCACTAAAGCTCCGCCACAACGGCTGCAGGCGCAACAACAAAGCAACAGCTGCATTCATTTCGTCTTGAAACACCTCTGCAACGTCTTTCACGTCTTGTTCTTCCATGAGCAGAAGTTGGTTGGCAAATAAAAGTCCAGATGCCGCCACACGCTCTCGAAACTGCTCGCCGTCAACCAGCAAAGGCCCCACAACATTCCGCAGATTGTCCACATTCAGCCTCAACTTCGACGTCGTTTGCATCTCCACAGCATCGGAACCTCGGATCAACTCCACTTGCATTTCCGCATCACTTGGCTCCTGATGCAAGTGCGGCAACTGCTCAAACAACCACTGAGCCACATGATGCACCTGTTCTCGAATCAGATCTTCCTGAGCGCCCCAATAATTGACCCGAAGCCACGCCAATAGATGGCAAGCAGCGAATCGAAGCACCGGCAGCGAAGGCAACTGGTTATGCGTCGACTCATGGCGCAGATCCACGACCCACAGCGGAATCCCAATGCGCTGTGCTAATGTACTAACGGCCGAGGCATAAGCGCCTTTCTGTGCACTGTCCGCAAGGCCGTTCACGCAGCGCACAATGACGTTTGCGTATAGAAGGGACAGCTCCATATGGGATCGGGAACTCACGCCTATTGCATGGTGATGGTGCTGGGCCATGGACTCGTGAAGCTGGAGCTCCACCAGCTGCGCAGTGGCGTTTATGGCCACGGGGAGCTGCGTGCGGCTTCTCCAGGCTGTTACGCGGGAGATACTGCGCTGTTGGGCGTACGGGTCGCTGCTGAATAGCCCCTCGTGCACGTCCTGCCACTCTGTCCACGTGAGCCACGGTACAGCGCTTTTGCGCCCAGTCATTTTACAGCAAACTGAACGAAGCTGAACAATGATTGTGATTAGAAAAAAAGCAGACTGGGTTGGTAGAAAAAAGCAAATGCGAATTGTAAAAAAGGGTTTCGGTCGATCGAAACGGTGTGAATCGACAGCCGCGCTCGAAGGTTGAGCAGCAGTACAGTTCTATACATTTATTTACTCGCAGTGCTTCTTCCTTTATCATCATGTTGAATTTCATAGCTCAGTGTCCGTACATACCGACGAAGCCGTGGGCGACACTTGCTGGGAACAAAAGCAGTGGTTCCAGTCGTTCTCGCACCGACTACATCGACTGCCATCACTGTCAATCACCGAGCCAGTCGGACCCTTGTTTGCCGCATTCCCAAAGCTGTCGTGCACTGCAGCAACGCTGACTGGGTACACGCGGTCCTGGTCGCTATTGCAATAGCAGTGCGTCCATTTCTGCAGACAGAGATGGCACGTGTCCGTTCCGACCTGATCCTGGGTTCGTGACAATGTCGACTGTTCAGTCCGATCCGACGGCGTCGTGTACGCCAATGTCTTGGTCCGCAGCCCGGCCGCCTTAATCTGCTGCTGTCGCTTCTCTTCCATCGCCCGTAATATCTCAATCGGACGCTGCTTGGACGTCATACTCGGGAATAAACTCTCGATCGAGTCCATCTGTAGAAACGACTTCAAGATGCAGCTCTCAATGTTCTCAGACGCCTGCAAACAGCTATCAAAGCTGCGTGCCATGATGCACAGCAGAATGTGCCGAAGAAACAATCCGAGACTATCCATGCGCTCCTTCACGACTGCAGCCCGACTCGAGCGCAAGAGTCGTCGACGTGGAAAAGGGTACTCAGCAATCTGCCGCAGGTAGTCGTTGCAGAAGCCGCAGTGGCCCCAGGACACGAGCTCCATGAGCTCCTTGCGGAGCTTGTAAAAGTCCGAATATCGTCTCCTGACCACGCACTTGCCGCCGGTCGTGACGTTGCGCACAAAGACCGTGTACATGGTATATTTCTGACCTTTGCCATGGACTTTAGCGCCGCCTTCGTCGCAGTCTCGCGTCGAGTTGCTCTCGACTTCCTTGAACGCCGTGATAACAACCGAAATTGAGTCTTCATCGATCATCGCGTAGTACAAGACACTTGTTCGAATGGCGACGGCCACACAGTGTCGAAAAGACGGGCAAACGGTCAATTTCAAGTCAAGAGCAGCGCTTCACAAAGGCTAATGACCGACTGAACGTGGTGTGAGCTTCTGCTGGTGGAAACTGCACTGTGGGGACCCCAAACGGGTCGGTCGACCAGCCAGCGTGCCTTTCCTCGTCCCTGCTTTTCGACTGCACGACACCGTGTGGGAAAAACAGAAGCAGAAACTCGAGACAAGTTCGGGCGTGATGGGCACCAAATGTCGCGCCGAGATGTGCCCGTCTAGTGTAGCCATGTGCTCAATGCTTCTCGCAATTACCTCCCATCCCATCCCATTGACCGACCGACCGGTCCATGTATACCGTCGTGAAAATAATCGCTATCTATATACTTCCACTTCATCTCTTTTCTCTCTCTTTCTCTCTCTCTCTCTCTCTTCTAGCAGCCTTAACCGTGCTCGGTGCACACACACGCCTGGCAAACTCCCTCTACGGTGCTCTTAAATACTAGTATCTCTCCTGTACTCCCAGCGAGCTGCTCTCGTCCGGCTCGACTCGACTCGACTACTTTCGATTTGCACACACTTGAGACACGGAACCCGAGAGCGGCTGGCGCTCGGCGTTTGACAAAGACGCTGGGCGCGTTGCCTGCTCCTGTCCCTTCTCCTGTGCAGTGGTCTGCTGAGCCATTCGCTCGAGCGCAAACACCAGCAGCGACCGTTCCTGCAAAAAGTCGCGGTTCGACGCACTCTTGCCAAAGTCGCTGACGAACGCCAGCAGCTTCTCTCGGTTACGGACGAGAAGCTGCTCCACTTCTGGTGACTTATTCGGGTTCGCTACGAAGATCTTAAACACGTGAAAAGCATCCATCCGCAAAGCCTCGCTTGGCTCACGCAGAAGAAGCATCACCTGCTTCAAATACGTGCGCGACGCCACGTACCGCTGCATAACCGAAAAGTTCACGGGGTCAAGCAGCAACTCCGACAATAACTGCAGCGCCTGACGCCGCGTGGCATAGTTCTCGGACGTCAACAACCCATTCAACAGACCAAAGATGTGGTCGAACGCTTCATCCAACAGCTGCACCGTCACCTTCTTGTGCACCGTCAGTAGCCGCGAGATATTAATGAGCGCGTCGGCCGAGATGTCAAAGTTGCTGTTCTCCATCGTCACTTTAAACAAAAACTCAAACTCGGGTGCAAGAGTCTGTAGAAAGATCATCGTGAGCGTCTGGTGCTCAAAGCAGTCACGGAGCATCGAGCCGCAGATAAGAGCCGTGTCATTGTTCTTGTAGCCTTCGACGAGCCATCGCATGATATCGGGTCGCTCGCCAATGAGCTCAATAAAGCCACGAAGATTGTGCACCGTCATAGCACGAAAGACGTGGCCCACGTACTTGCGTGTCTCAAACGTGAGCTGCCCCAGCACCTTGGGCATCAACACTTTCTCCAGCACACGATAGCGCAGCAGGAGCTCGGCCATGTCGTCCATCTTCTTCTCCCGGTCGCCATGTTCCTCGTCCCAGTCATGAAACACGGCGCGGATCTTGGCCCACTTGCGCTCAAGCTCACCCGGCACCGTCTTCTCAGTCGTCGACTCCTCGTCGCTCGACTCTTCGTCAACGGGGGGAGCGCCTTCAAAGTCTGGTTCGTTCGCATCCACTGCCGCTGTTCCCGCCTTGATGGACGCGTCGTGCGCCTTGGCCTCTACGAGCGCAGCCCCGGAGCTCGCAGCAATGCTGAGGCTCTCGAACGCAGCGTCGAGTTTGTCGTCTGGCACGAGTTCGCGCAGCAGCACGTCCACAGACCGCACGAGTTCGCCTGTCGGGTTCAGCCGCGACCAGAAAAACGTGTTGACGCGGTTCATTTCGTTCACCTGCACCTCGCACTACACTGGACGAGTCCCAGCGCGGCTGTTCGCCGGCTTGTCACGTCCAAGAAGACGGTCTCGGACGGCCTGCGGGAAAAACCAGTGGCGGGGAGCGGGAGGAGACGCGCTTGCTCGCTCGCTCGGAGCTGCGGAAGCGGTTGGTGGTGTCGCTTCTTTCTCCGCTGCAAAAAAATGCGAGATGGCTCACCCCCTCGTCCTCCCCTACCCACCCACGGGTCAGTCAGCAGCTCCCGAGCGAGTGAACGCTCGGTCGCTCGGTCGTTTGATTGATCCTGCTGCAACCCGGACTTGCAGCGACATTCGCACGATCGACGACGAGGCGCGTAGAAAAGGGGCTGGTCACCAAACGACCTTGAGCAGAGTATGCCTGGCCCGGCTCTGCAACGCAAGTACGTCATGAGCGAGGAAAAGGGTTCGGTGCGCAGAAAACGAGCAGCTTGGACGTGGACAAAAGACGGAGGAGATACATACAGAGCCACTCGGTGTTGACCGCTCTGGCAGAGCGGCCGCTGTCACTGGCGCCAGTGACAGAAACGCTCTCCCGTTATTTTTTTGCTGCTACAGGCGGGAGGCGGAACTGGTGGTGGTCTTTCGGCAAACGCGTGGGTGGGTGGCACTTCATCTCAGTCGTGTCAGACGAGTTGGAATAAAAGAGCGCGAAGAAGGGGGGAGTGCGGGAGGGATGCTGGGCGATGGAAATTCAGGGCAAGAAATGGGCTCGACATGGGTAAGAGGAAGAGTGTGTTGGTGGTTGGTGGCGGGTCTTAGTTGGTTCGCGTCCTTGGGGACGAATGGTCGACAATCGGGGACTTTCCGGCATGTGTTAACGAGGTCCTAATTTGCTGCTGACCATGGAAGACGAGCCCGTCACTGACTTGACCGCCGGGTACGGTTCGTAGAGAGACAGACGTCTCTGTTGCAGACAGCCGGTCAAGTCTCATTTGTGGCCATCTGCACTCTAGTAAGATTGAGTGTATTGAAGAGACAGACAGCGTCTCGTGCTGGAAAGTGGACTGTATTGCTTGTGTGCGTTTCTTTCTTCTAGACCGTCACCATGACGCGACGATTTGGGTTCCTCTGCAACTTGTGGCTGCGGTTGTCCAGACGCGAACGATTCTTTTCGTGCCAGAAGTTCTTTCGTTTGGCCTCAACGATCGACATGCCGCCGGCGATATTGTTGCGCTTCTTGAGGAAGTTGGCCACAAACGCTGTTGAAAGCGCGGTGCTACCGCTGCGAGGATCAATGCCCGCCGACTGATACGCCAACAGCAGATTTTCCTTCGTCGCAGCAAGCACCGATGCACGCGTTTCATCTGGACGGAAACGCTGCTTGTAGTAGCGGCGGAACTCGCGACGGCCGAGGCGGCGGCCGTTGGCCAAAACCAACTCGCCTGTTTCGGACACGCCCATGGTGTACCCGTCGTCGTCGTCGCCATGGACTTCCTCTTCAAGTTGTTCCTCGACGACCTCTTCATCGCTGTCGATGCTGGCCTCACTGTCAGTCTCCCACTCGACCCCTTCTTCAGCAATTGTCTTGCTCTTTCTTGACGATGCGTACTGAGACTCGAAGCAGTAGAACTCTAGCAGCTCCTCCAAATCCTCGTCCTCGTAGCGCAGTTTGCAGTGAGACAGTGACGTCATATGCTTTTGTACATCCTGGTGAGAGCGGAAGGCCTTGCCCTTGCCATTACAGTACAAGCAGTAGAAGCCAACCTTGACCTTCTCGGCCAAGTAGCCGATCAAGCCTTCCGGGTCCACTAAGAACTCAACATCAGGGATGAAAAAGCCGTGCTCATTCAGCATGTGCTCCAAGCTCGCGTCGAAACTTGCTGCGTGATGCGTACAAAAGATGCAGTCCTCTTTCTCCAGAGGCACTTGCTTCTTGTACGCTTCCATCTCGTTCACCAGCTCCTCCTCTGTCCATTTCTTTGGGTGACTCCCAACAGCTTCGTCATCAGGCGAGACCACGTCCATCTGCTGCGCCACTGTCTCGACCATCGAAGTGACCTCGGGCTTCTGCTTGACATTCCCCAAGTGCTTCTTTGACGCCAAGTGGTTGTTGTGGGCGTTCGGGTTCGTGAACGTCTTGTTGCAAGCCACGCACTTGAGTCCGACCTTGACTCCTGTCTTCTGTATCTGCTCCTCCCGAGCCCGCTGCTTCTGCTTGGGATCGTTCACCCGCTGAGCCTCTTTCTCCTCTAGTACTTTACGCATTCGGAGCTCGAACTGCTCCTCCGACACAGGCGGCAGTTCCACCACCTTGCGCTTGAGATTGTAGCGGTGCCAGTCCATTCGAAAATGCTCTTTCTGCTCTGCATAGGCCGCAAACTCCAAGCGGCATGCCGTGCACGTCAACATGGCTATCGTTGGATCAAGTATCGGAGCACTTGGTGGTGTCTGAGTCGACTCCAACGAAAAGGTCCCGAAAGAGACTCAGACGATGACCTGATGCGAAACAATCGAGTGGCAGTCACGACTGTACTGCAATGATTGCGCCCCCGCCCATCGTAACCGCTACATTCGTTTCACTGGCGTCGTCCACTCGACGCTATTCATCGAGTTAGAGCAGGAAGTAATATATCGCGGATCGTATACGGTAACTGCTCTATTTTCTTCCATTGGCGATGCTTCCGACGCTCGTACGAACAGCGCGCTATCCAGTCCGCGCTGCTCGCTCCCTCACGCGCTCAACTGCTCGTGCGCTGTCTGTACCCGTGCGTAACCCGCTACACGCTTCATGGACTGATGAGGACAAGACCTTTTTCCAGCAGCTCCTCAAGCCTGAGAGCGTGCTCACTGCTGCGGACGACACTGAAGCGTATACGGTGGACTGGCTCAAGAAGTATCGAGCCAAAGGGATCCATCAAATGGTGCTGAAACCCAAGTCCACAGCACATGTTGCTGCAATCCTCAAGTACTGTAACGACCGGAACTTGCCCGTGGTGCCACAGGGAGGCAACACGGGCCTTGTGGGTGGCAGCGTGCCAGTGTTTGACGAGATTGTGCTCTCGATGAGCTCAATGAACAACGTGATTGCGTTCGACAACGTGTCGGGTATCTTGTCGTGTGAAGCTGGTTGTATTCTGGAGAACTTGGACAACTACGTGGCCACTTTCGGCTACATGATGCCGCTGGATCTGGGGGCAAAAGGGACGTGCCAAATTGGTGGCAATGTCGCAACAAACGCCGGTGGACTTCGGCTGTTGAGGTACGGATCTCTTCACGGCACAGTGCTCGGCGTTGAGGCAGTATTGGCTGATGGCACCGTCTATGACGGGTTGAGCACAATGCGCAAAGACAATACAGGCTACGACCTGAAGCAGCTGTTCATTGGATCGGAAGGCACGCTAGGCGTGGTGACCAAGGTATCGATTTTGACACCCCCACGTTCTTTGTGCAAGAATGTTGCTTTGTTGGCGTGCACCGATTTTGAGGCTTGCCAGAAGGCGTTTGTGGAGGCGAAGAAAAAGCTGGGTGAGGTTCTTTCGGCGGTGGAGTTCATGGACCGTCAGTCGCTTGACATGGTCCTGTCACAGCAGGACTGGACGAAGGATCCGCTAGAGACGCCGAGTCCGTTTTACGTTCTGATTGAGACGTCGGGCAGCAATTGTGATCACGATATGGAGAAGCTGGAGGCATACCTCGAGGACGTAATGGGTTCGGGTGTTGTTGTCGATGGCACGGTTGCTCAGGATGAGGCACAGGCGCAAAAGCTGCTTATGCTGCGCGAAGACATTTCGATGTCTCTCAGCTCTCGTGGTTATGTGTACAAGTACGACATTTCACTGCCAATGGATCAGTATTATCAGATTGTGGAGGAGGTTCGTGAGAGAATGGCACCTCTAGGTGCTGAGGTGGTCGGATTCGGTCACATGGGTGACTGCAACCTGCACTTGAACATCTCTACACTCGATTATGACGAAAAGGTGTTCAGTGCGCTGGAGCCGTATGTGTTTGAGTGGACGTCCAAGTATCGTGGAAGCATCAGTTCGGAGCACGGCATTGGCACTCACAAGCCATCGTATCTCCACCTGTCCAAGTCCAACAGCTCCATCAATCTCATGAAGCGGATGAAAAGCATGATGGATCCTAAGGGGATCCTCAACCCGTACAAGGTTCTTCCAGTGAGCGAAAAGAACGGCGCTGTTCTTCTATAATCTGCACGTGCATTGTAGAATCAGTGAAATAAAGGGGCTTAGAGGTTTGTTCGAAGTGCGATGAGGTGCGACGCTACACAATTGCCAAATGAGTGTTGTACGTGGTCGGTAGTCCTTGTTCACTTTGTCGAACTTTCGCAACTTTTTTCCAGCGTGTCCTGCCGTTAATGTTGGGCAGGACAAGGTCGAATCACTGATTTACAACGTAGTCTAGAAGGACGTGCTTGTCTCAAATTTTACGTTCGTCTCTCCATCTCACACACACGAACTCCAGCCGTTTTTGGACAAAGGATCGCCAATAGGCAGAGGCGCTGAGCTGCCATTAGTCGAAGGACTCAAACACGGATCTTTTGTTTCGCGACATTGGTCGTACTTGTTCCACACGCAAAAGAGCAAGCTTCACCTCCTGCATCATTGAAGGGTTCCGAGACAGCTTGCATCTTGCACTCAAATAGATGAAGCCTATCCATAGTCCCACAAACCGATGTACCGAGCGAAAAAGGGTGTGTATGTTGTGACTCTCTTCCTTCATTCTACACTATTTTTGTTGCTTTATTCTTGAGTCCTACTTTTGACGTCTGATACGATACGTGTCTGGGTAACGGGGTTACACGCGGTTATTGAACTGGTTATGTTGTGTGTCCACACCAAGTAAAGATCGGTGGATCTGAGTGGTACAGTATTGGTACCACGTACTTACGATAATACCGCACCTTATCGGGTCAGGATAAGGGAAAAGACTTCAGTCATACAGTGCGCACCACCTAAAGCCTGGAACTTGTTTTTTCGGCGGCCAAATTTGAAATATTTTTTGCCGTTTCCCGCAACCAAAAACGCCCTTTACAACGCTCCCATCGCACTGCAGTCAACAAACACGTCTTTGCACGTTTCCTCCACCAACCAACGTACTAAATCAGTCAACAACCACAAAATGCCGCGCCCCAATAAACGGCAACGGCACTTGCAGCTTACGTGTAACGGGGTGAATCGTTACATAACAATTTATAAGAAATTGTTAATAGAATATAACTATAAGAGTTGTATTCTCAGAATATTGTCATAAGGACAAATATTCTGTAGCACTTACGAGTAGTTCCTAATTGGTTGATATAGGTCATTATATCAACCAACGAAGACGCGCCACGACAGACGCACGCAATGAGTGGTGAGCAGATATTTGATATGCACATTTGTATTTAGACATAGTTAGATGAAGATAAATAGTGATTTATTGCAGACATTAACTATTACAAATACAGTTCTACTTTTTACTTTAACCAAGTACTCGCTTCTCCTTACCGTCTTCCTCTGCACGTACGAGTGTACGTGAAGTTCCGAGGCACCGCCTTATTCTGTCATCAGAATAAGTAGCTTGTACTGTCACCAGTACAAGCTTCAGGGTGCCCCGTTACACCTGGTAGTGCTTCGTAGTCCGTCCAAGGACCACGTTCACATCTAACATGAATATGTTGGATGATGAAGATGACCAAAGCTTTCACGCTACGCGTGACGGCTACTCCCATTTGAGCGACGTCGAATGGGATGCGGTTGAACGGATGGGTTCAGCCATGGGCATCCATGCTGTTAGCGTCATGCTAGAGGCTCTCAATAGAGATGCTCAACATGTTACTATCGCCAAGTTCATTCAAAATGAACTTGACGCAGAACGCGAGAAAGTAGCCTTGCTTCACCAACAAGGTTCTTAACAAGCAGAGTTGTTAAGAGAACAGGGTGCTCAACAGTTTGAACTGTTGAGACAGCAGCAGGCTGCTGCTGGTGGGTCGATGCACTCGCGTCGACCCGAAACCTTGAAGATTGACATCTCCAAGTATAGGGGGGTCGAAGAAGACTCCCTCTTGAGATGGTTCGTCGAATTGGATGACGCCATAAGGGCGCGTCGCATCGACGACGGGGATATGCAAGTTGCATTTGCCCAGTCAAATCTGGCAGGACGTGCCAAGACTTGGGCACTGGGGCTCAAGTTGCACGACCCATATGCGTTTGGGTCGTTAGAAGTCTTCAAGTCGCGGCTCAGACAAACGTTTGAACCGCCTAGAGCTGAGTTCAGAGCTCGAACCGAACTATTGAAGCTCAAACAAGGTAAGCGTGATGTGAACGCTTACGCGCAACATATACGACATCTCACGAGTTGTATAAGTTCCAATCCGGTGGATGAACACACGTTGGTTTCGGTGTTCATGCAGGGTCTTGCGGATGGTCCCGTCAAGACTCACCTGTTCCGGCTTGAACTAGATTCACTAGAACAAGCCATTTCCATTGCGGAACAGTAAGACTTCAGTCTGAGACAGGCTCGCGCCAGCTCGACATCATATCGTCAACCAAGACGATATGACAGCGGAGGTCCAGAGCCGATGTAACTCTGTCATGTAGAGAGCGAGAAGGCTCGCTCTACAGACTACAAGAAGTTGCATAAATGCAACAGATGTCAGAAGACAGGACACTACGCTTACGAGTGTAGTGCCCCTCGTCTAGTGTCTCGCAACACTGGGCGTAGTGACCGTCCACCCATGAGAAAGGGGCAGGGACGAGGGTCCGCTGTTGGTGCAAAGACGCAACAACGGGATGGACCGTCAAAAAAACGGACAGGATCAGTAGGTGCGGAGCACCCTACTGGTCCAGCAACGTCGAGAGGATTTGTGGGCCTCTTGATGAAGGTTGCTCCCAACACACAAACGTTGTGCGTTGCTGCTCTAGGTAATGAGATCTCACTCATTACCTTGAAACTCGAAGTGACGAATAAGTTGTCCCTTCGAGCTCTAGTCGATTGTGGGGCATCCAATAACTTTGTGCGACGCCAATCGCTAGAAGATGGTCATTTTAAGTTCAGTGAATGTGACACACCTTCTACGAGGATGACAGTACGTCTTGCGACAGGCGCATCCGTAACCGTTATGAAGCGTATAGTGAAGATCCACTATACGCTAGAGGATACCCAATATGACGATGACTTCATCGTATTCGATTTGGATGACAAATTTGATGTCATCCTCGGTCTTCCATGGCTCAGAAGGTACGAACCACGAGTAAACTGGCAACATCGAACAGTAACGATGCCTGCCGCTTGTTCATGAGATGGCCATCTGATGAACGTTTTGGAGCGTTCACAAGCGTGTGGATGTACTACGAGTGAGTGCGGTGGCCTCACTTGTGGTACGGTCGTTAGTACGACTGCACAAAACCTTAGTGTACCAAACGGTTACACTTCGGAGCAAAGTTCCGGCGGCTGTGAGGAAACACAGGCTGCGCCGAAGGCACCACTCGAATAAGTCGAGTGGACCGGGACAAAGATGTATCCCTAGCGGGGAACATCTAGAAGAGAAACAATCGATCGATCAGGTTAAGCGAAACGGTAATCCTAGATCGACTGGAGAGTCTTTCGTAGAGGATCTCGCTGTGGTTGCGCAACCCCAGCTAGATAAAGTAAAGGGAATAAGTCCCAAGATTACAAATACGGCGGAAATAAGTTACCCGAAACCCGAGGGAATAAGTCCCCGGGAAGACGAAGGAACAAGTCCTTCGAGGACTGAGGAAATCAGTCCCCAGGAAATGACAGAGACATTGAATGTCCTAGTCAATGATGGATCAAGTGTAGGCGCTTATAGACTTGATCTGATTGCGCCTCCGAAGTTAACTTCGGAGATCACTCAGTTGCCAACGCTCGAACATTAAAGGTTCTTGCGTGATCTGCGTAGTGGCAAAGTCAAGCAGATCTGCATACTCGTCGCTGACGACGAGTGTGTAGCCAACATAAGGTCAGCAACAGTGTTCACTGAGAACGAGAGAGGTCTCAGTAGTTCATCTATGGACGAGAGTGTCCTAGATGAAAAGACACGAGTTGAGCGATGTGACTCTCAATCGTGGGAATCGCTCAAGACAAATCCTCTCTATGAAGATTTGGTTGAATTCAAGGATGTATTCCCTGAAACTGTTCCGTGCGAATTACCGAAGGATAAAGGTATCCGACACGAGGTCGAGCTTAAACCAGGCTCGAAGTACTGTGACATGAAGCAGTGGCCACTGCCTCGTGAACAAGTACTTGCGATCGACAAGTTCTTTGCCGATCGTTTAGCTGCGGGCCATGTGAGGGAATCAACTTCCCCACATAGCTCTCCGACCTTCTGTGTGCGAAAAGCAACAGGAGGGTGGCGGATAGTGCATGCATTTAAAAAGTTGAATGCTGCAACGGTACCGGCTCAGACGCCGATACCGAGGAAGGACGTAATCATTGATGGTATGTCAAAGAGTACCATCTTTTCGTCCATGGATTTGATGGATGGCTTCTATCAAATCCTTATGCGGGAACGGGATATACCCTATACCGCAGTTAGCACGCCTAGAGGCATGCTATGGGAATGGCTAGTAATGCCACAAGGGCTTAGTAATGCCCCTGCCACGTTCAACAGATGTGTATCACATCTGTTGAGACCAGTACGAGAATTCGCGCCGAGTTATTTCGATTACGTACTCATCCATAATCGGGCTATGGATGGAAATTCGGACGTTGAAGTTCACAGGTACCACGTCCGACAGGTTCTTACAATCATGCGAATACATCAATTACATGCAAATCTCAAGAAGTGTATATTTGCAGCAAGCGAAATACCACTTCTTGGGTGCATCGTTGGTAAGAACGGTGTACGTCCTGATCCCGAAAAGATCAAGGCGATCACCGACTGGCCTGTGCCGGTTGATGTCAAAGGTCTTCGAAAATTCCTTGGGCTAGCGGCGTATTTGCATAAGTATTCACGCAATTACGCCGAGATGACTGTGCACCTCTCTCGTTTGTTGAAAAAGAACGAGAGGTAGTTATGGAACGCTGAATGTCAGCGCTCCTTTGATGGTATCAAGCAGAGCTTGATACAATCCCCAGTCCTAGCGATAGCCGATCAGGACAGGCCATTTCATGTGGTCTGTGATGCCAGCGATTTCGCAATCGGCTGTGCATTAATGCAGTGCGACCTAGAAGGCGTTGAACGCGTCGTCTGCTATCAGTCGCGTCAGCTGCAACCAGCTGAGCGGAACTATCCATGCATGACAAGGAACTCCTTGCCATGAAGTGTGCACTCGCGAAGTTCAGAGTCTATCTATTCGGAGATATACCCTTCATTGTTTACACAGACCATGCGTCATTACGCACGGCAGTAAACGTCCCGCACCTTTCACAACGAATGGCGCGGTGGTTGTCATTCTTTGCAGAATACAACTTTACGGTCGAGTACAAACCAGGACGACTCAATGTCGTCGCTGATGCACTCTCACGTCGTCCCGACTTTGAACCAGTCGTGAAACCCAACAGTGAGACAGTCACTGTTGCGGTTATGACGTCCTCAGTCCCATCTTCAACGTTGTATGATGATGTGAGGCGGCCATACGCCCAAGATGGTAAGATTGTGAAGTTGTTAACACATCTCTCACAGCCATCTCGAGAATCGTTGAAACGATTGTTGTCTGCTTATCGATCTGCATCAGATCGATACACTACTCGCAACGGGTTACTGTTTTATACAGCCGTTTCTGGTGACACACCACGTGTTGTCATTCCAGATGATACTGATCTGCGTTTGCGGATCATGTTCGAGTATCACGATGATCCTATAAGAGGACATCGTGGCCGTGAGAAAACATATCTCACGGTGAGTCGAGACTTTTACTGGCCCCGCCAGTATCAGTTTGTGCGAAAGTATGTTCGCGCATGCGAAGTCTGTCAACGAGTGAAGTCAAGTCCTTCACTGCGTGCACCTTTACAGCCTCTACCGGTTCCGGCTGAGTGCTGGGAATCCATCTCGATGGATTTAGTCTTCGGGTTACCCAAAGACGCACGCGGGAATACGGGTATTCTCGTATTTGTTGACAGATTCAGCAAAATGGTACACCTAGTGGCTGTACCAGAGTCAATCACGGCAAGTGGCTGTGCTTGTGTCTTTATTGACACCATCTTCCGACTTCATGGGTTGCCCCGTGAACTCGTATCAGACAGAGATCCACGATTCACTGCTGATTTCTGGCGTTCCGTGTTCAAATCACTCGGAACGCGCTTGAAGATGTCTACATCTGATCATCCAGAGTCAGATGGTCAGACGGAACGTGCCAATCGCGTCCTTGAAGAGATACTTCGAGGATACGTACACTCCTTTAAGAGTTGGAGTGCGTTTTTGCCAATGGTAGAGTTTGCCATTAACAACTCGGTGCATGCGTCCACGACACATACACCGTTTTACGTGAATGGCTTGCGCCATCCGCGTGTACCCACCTTGCTAGAGTGTGACTCTGGTTCAAGGGGGGGGAGGGACTCGCGAGAGCAAAAACCGATTTGGTTCACGCTCATCACGCTCTGACGAAGAGGTCATTGCGTTTGATGCCGATATCGACAACATCGATATCGAAGAAGATGATGCCAGTGAGAGCGAGGAAGCCCTCACTGAAGAAAATATTGATATTGCTGCAGTGCACTCACAGCGCAATGAATCTAACGAGTCATCAGATGAGTTCATACTGGCTCGTGAAAGGGTATTCCGTTTTGTGCAAGACTCTATCGCCGAAGCGGTGGATAAGCAAAAGCAAAACGCTGACAAGAATGGAAGGGCAAACACTCTTTTATTTAATAAAGGTGACTAAGTCCTACTGTCTACGGTTAATCTACCAAAGCATGTAGTGACTAACTTGGGTAGTAGTTTACTACTACCCAAGTACATCGGCCCATTTCGTGTATTGCACCGCCTAGGCAATGCATACACGATCGAGTTGCCACGTAAGATGCGAACGCATCCCATGTTTTACGTTGGTCGGCTTAAGCCGTACCATCAGTACGCTGCTTCTTCCGATGAAGAACGCCCTTGCGCTCAAGCATCTCGCAGAGAGCCTTGTGCTCCCGATGATGGGCATCAACAAGGGTCTGAAGAGCAGCTATCTCATCCCGAGACCGATCAACATTCCCACGAGCTACCCTTAGCTCGTCGCGCAGAGATGTCAGAGATCTCTCGTTCTCAAGCTGAGCAAAGGCAAACTCAGCTCGATTTTTCGAGACAGCGTCCGCCAGTTGGAGACGTCTGTCCCGCTCATGTTCGAGATCGCCGCGTAACCCTTGCTTTACGCGATCGAAGAAGCTCTCGGGAACACACGCTTCCCCACGATAGTTTGGAGAGCGTTTTCCATCCTCCTCCACCTCCATTAGAGGACTCTCACGGTGGCCAGCGCTATCTAGTTGAGAAGCTGTTAAACCACCGCGACGTGAACGGACGTCGGACGAGTTATCTCGTCCGGTGGCGCGGCTATCCCCCGTCCTGGGATTCTTGGGAGCCCCGCTCCCAACTGATGATCGACGTACTGGGTCTGGTTGAGCAGTACGACGCGGCACATCCTGTGCCGCAGAAGCACCGCCGGAGAAAGTCTTCCCGGCACGGTCGTAAAGGGATTTCAGGTTGCCAATCCCTTCTTACATATCAGTAGAGACACGTACGCGCCACCACGGGCTGGTAAGGAGGTAAGCCTCGTTAGGTGCTCTTGCAGAGTTGTTCACAGAACACGGGCACGAGTCTCCCCAAGAGAGGCAGGGTAATCCTTTCTCTCTTGACAGACGATGCAGCTTGTAGCGTGCACCTGTCGGGGTTCGCTTTTCAAACTTATCACGAGCTTTGATAAGTTTGTCGTTCCAAGCGTCACGACCTACATCCTCGAGGTTATGGATGTAGGCGTTCCACGCCTGAAGCAGTGAGGGACCATCACGTTTGTGATTCCCACTGTACCATCGATACTTAAAGAAAGCATCGATGAAGAATTTATTCTCAGTGTGATAGTCTTTCGCCTTGGGGTCAAGGTGATGGATCCTTGACGAATCGAACAATCGTGTTCGATAACGATCACTCGTCGTCGCCGACAAGTGATCCATGACGGATTTTGGAGGCATCCATGCCTTCTTCTCGGTAGCGAGACGCAAGACACTGCGGTCCCGCTCTTCTTGCGACGTGCCAACAGAAGGACTGGCACCTCGTTGCGAAGTGGTGTCAATAGGAGAACCGACACCACTGTGAGCGACCGAGTCTTGCGACTTCGATCGCCTTCGCTTCGGCGGCGGTTCATCTGATTCATCAGATGAACCAAAGATGCTGCGACGCATAGCATCATCCATGCCACGCTTGGCAGGCGGCTTGGATTCAATCGCCGTCGATACGGATCCGTCTTCCGTATCAGGAGAGTATGAGACACCGAGCTCATACTCTGTGAAGACATGAGTGTTTTCATGACCAGCGCCTGCATCACCAAGTGACACAGGCTGGGTCGCTTCAGCAACCGATGAGACATCGGTTGCTGCGGTTTCTGCTTCGGCGTCCGCACAGAGACGTGCGGACGCGTTCTCGGAGGCCTTGCTCGCGCATCGCATGGGCTTGTTAACCATGCGATGAGATGTTGGAAAGCGGACTCGGACCAATAAGTGCAAACCCTGTCCCAAATGATTTGGGACGAGTATCCATTTAGTCAATCAGTCACTAAAGTGACTGATGGTTAGGGGGGTGATGTAACGGGGTGAATCGTTACATTACAATTTATAAGAAATTGTTAATAGAATATAACTATAAGAGTTGTATTCTCAGAATATTGTCATAAGGACAAATATTCTGTAGCACTTACGAGTAGTTCCTAATTGGTTGATACATGCCATTATATCAACCAACGAAGACGCGCCACGACAGACGCACGCAATGAGTGGTGAGCAGATATTTGATTTACACATTTGTATTTAGACATAGTTAGATGAAGATAAATAGTGATTTATTGCAGACATTAACTATTACAAATACAGTTCTACTTTTTACTTTAACCAAGTACTCGCTTCTTCTTACCGTCTTCCTCTGCACGTACGAGTGTACGTGAAGTTCCGAGGCACCGCCTTATTCTGTCACCAGAATAAGTAGCTTGTACTGTCACCAGTACAAGATTCAGCGTGCCCCGTTACATTACGAGGTCTGTTTTGGAAGAGAAGAGGGCTGAAGCAGCAAGCAGAAGCCGCAGCCAACAGTGACAAAGTGGAAGACGGACACGAAGGAAACGGCGCTCGAGAGGTGGAAAGTGAGTTTGAAGAGGTGGAAGATGGACATAAAGGGAATCACAATCAGGAGGCGGGAAGTGAGAGTGATGAGGAAGACGATCTTGAACTTGAATTTGAGGATTTCACGGCGGGTATCCTTAACAAAATTGAAGAAGTGGTTAAGGTTGCCCGCAATAACCGATCTACGCGGTATCATGACAACGCCCCAAGAACCCAATACCGTAAGCATGCTGAACAGAGGAAGGCGGAAATTGGTTCGCGAACGCTTAAAACGTACTTTTCTGTTGTGCCGGCAAAAACATTAGCACAGGCTCAGGCGCAACCTGCCAGTGGTGAAGACGAATACAAATGTCCATCAGACGACGAAGAGCCGCTTTACTCTACCAGCAAGCTCACTGAGGCAATTAAGAGAATTGAAAAGGCGAAGAAACCACAGGAAAAAGTAACGTGCGTGTGCATTGCTTCAGTTGAAGGGTATTTTAGACTTGTGCTCAGTGGATGTTAGGTATGGCACAGCATTGTCTGCTCTACATTATTTTGATTTCCCGCGATTATTGTACTGATTGCCTTTCATATACCCAGCAAATTGTAATGTCGCACATAATTGCCACGGTAAACGGCAAAGGTCGTTGGTTTGCCATACTGCTTCGTGCTTGTGCACGGGAATACCTCGATACCGGCAAAATGCCTCAAATCAAGCATGGAAAACCCGTCAAAACCATCAGCTTGCTCAAGGACGAAGATGTCAATGACGAGGTGCAATGCTGTCTTCGCATCAACAGATTCCACGTTGAACCAATCGATTTCGCCAACCTTTCAATGAAGAAATCCTTCAGAAGATTGACTCCGATGCCTCCATTCATAGCAATACAGTCACTTGAAGACTGAAAGATCTTGGCCTACAATACTCAGAAGTGAAGTAGGGCATGTACCTTGATGGGCATGAACTTACGGACGTTGTCGCATATCGGTAAAAGTTGCTGCAGCGAAAGGAAGAATTCGAACCCTTCATGCCTAAGTTTGAAGGGCCTAAGATGGACGTTGCGGTGTGGCCAGAAGTCGTAGAGGTAATCCTAGTCACGCAAGATGAAAGAACGTTTGCTGCGCACGACGGCAAGAAAAATAGTGGCTTCCTGAATGAGAACATCCGCTTCGCAAAAAGGGCGCAGGAAGGTCCATACATGTAAGCGACTTTCTAACTGATGTTGGCGTGTGTCACAAGTAGTGTCTTACACTTGTACATAAATCTTTGCACTGACATCGCAACTTGTATTGTAGGTGGTCGCCTCGCGTTGAGCTCAAACAAGCAGGCTACGCACCTCAACTTTGCAAAGTAGCTTGCACTATTATGCTTGCCGGAAAAAATGTGATGGTAGGTGGACTACTGAGCACCTCCATAAGCAGGCTCGGGACGTCGCCATTCCAATCTTTAACGCGCAGTTTCCTGGCTCTCAGGCCATTTTTTTCGTTGAGAATGCGACTAGCCATGCGGTCTTTGCGGCCGATTCTATAGTCGCCTTATGTATGAATTTTGGACCTGGAGGAAAGTAACCAGCAATGAGGGATGTATTGCTTCCTGATGGAACAGCCCAACCTCTTGTGTTTCCTGCCTACCACCATCTCACTGGGCAATTCAAAGGAATCAAGGGTGTTCTGCAAGAACGGAATCTGTGGACGCAGAATCTGGGTATGGATTGGCGCGACAAGTGCGCTTACACCGGCAGTTGCTGCGCCCGCAGTGTCATCCAAAACCAACCTGATTTTAAGGGGAAAAAGGGATTTTAGAAGAGACTATTACTTTAGCCAGCCATCACATCAATTTTTACCCTAAGTTCCATTGCGAGCTGAACTTTATCGAAAATGTTCTGAGGAGATTCAAAACGCCGTGCTCAAAAAAATTGCACTACACATTTAAAGGCCTCGAGCAGATGGTCCCAAAATCCATGGCATCCGTCTCTGTCACGACCATCCGCCGCCATGCTCGAAAGTGCTTCCGGCACATGGACGTATATCGGAAGAACCTGACTGGGAAGGCCGCCGAATACGCCGTAAAGAAGTATCGATCGCATCGTAAGGTCCCAACTTCAATTTTGATGGATGTGGACGTTTAAGCTGGTGCGAGTTAATAAAAAGTTATAAGATATTTAGGAAAAATAGGAAAAACCCAAAAATAGTCTACGCAGGGATTTTTAGAGCCGTTAAATGTGCCTCGGCGCAAGCCAAAGATAGTATAATTTTCCAAAATTTAGGATCCCATGACTTCGCGAAAAATGTGTCAAATCAAATTTCGAGACTTTAGGAGGGAAGCAAGTAGCATGATACAGTCATCTAAGGTCATGAATTGTGCTATAAGAAGCATGAGATACCGAGTGGCTGAGTGACTGAGATTAGAAAAAGTTACAGGTTAAAGGTGGTGCGCACTGTATGATCGCAATGTAGAAGTCAGTCAGATAAAGTTTCAGGTTTTGCTACCGTATTTTAACGAATAAAGAAAGTTCACTTCCCCTTATGATTTGTTGGACACTAGTACCTAGTCAAGGCATAGCGTTTAACACGAGTGTTAGCCTTATGAAGGCGCTTACTTTAGTTGTAACGGGGTGAATCGTTACATAACAATTTATAAGAAATTGTTAATAGAATATAACTATAAGAGTTATATTCTCAGAATATTGTCATAAGGACAATATTCTGTAGCACTTCCAAGTAGTTCCTTATTGGTTGATATAGGCCATTATATCAACCAACGAAGACGCGCCACGACAGACGCACGCAATGAGTGGTGAGCAGATAACTGATTTACACATTTGTATTTAGACATAGTTAGATGAAGATAAATAGTGATTTATTGCAGACATTAACTATTATAAATACAGTTCTACTTTTACTCTAACCGAGTACTCGCTTCTTCTTACCGTCTTCCTCTGCACGTACGAGTGTACGTGAAGTTACGAGGCACCGCCTTATTCTGTCATCAGAATAAGTAGCTTGTACTGTCACCAGTACAAGCTTCAGGGTGCCCCGTTACACCTGGTAGCACTTCGTAGTCCGTCCAAGGACCGCGTTCACATCCAACATGAATATGTTGGATGATGAAGATGACCAAAGCTTTCACGCTACGCGTGACGGCTACTCCCATTTGAGCGATGTCGAATGGGATGCGGTTGAACGAATGGGTTCGACCATGGGCATCCATGCTGTTAGCGTCATGCTAGAGGCTCTCAATAGAGATGCCCAACATGCTACTATCGCCAAGTTCATTCAAAATGAACTTGACGCAGAACGCTGAGAAAGTAGCCTTGCTTCACCAACAAGGTTCTCAACAAGCAGAGTTGTTGAGAGAACAAGGTGCTCAACAGTTTGAACTGTTGAGACAGCAGCAAGCTGCTGCTGGCGGGTCGATGCACTCGCGTCGGCCCGAGACTTTGAAGATTGACATCTCAAAGTATAGGGGGTCGAAGAAGACTCCCTCTTGAGATGGTTCGTCAGGAGTGGATGACGCCATAAGGGCGCGTCGCATCGACGACGGGGATATGCAAGTTGCATTTGCCCAGTCAAATCTGGCAGGACGTGCCAAGACTTGGGCACTGGGGCTCAAGCTGCACGACCCATATGCGTTTGGGTCGTTGGAAGTCTTCAAGTCGCGGCTCAGACAAACGTTTGAACCGCCTAGAGCTGAGTTCAGAGCTCGAACCGAACTCTTGAAGCTCAAGCAGGGTAAGCGTGATGTGCACGCTTACGCTCAACATATACGACATCTCACGAGTTGTATAAGTTCCAATCCGGTGGATGAACACACGTTGGTTTCGGTGTTCATGCAGGGTCTTGCGGATGGTCCCGTCAAGACTCACCTGTTCCGGCTTGAACTAGATTCACTAGAACAAGCCATTTCAATTGCGGAGCAGGAAGACTTCAGTCTGAGACAGGCTCGCGCCAGCTCGACATCATATCGTCAACCGAGACGATATGACAACGGAGGTCCAGAGCCGATGGAACTCTGTTATGTAGAGAGCGAGAAGGCTCGCTCTACAGGCTACAAGAAGTTGCAGAGATGCAACAGATGTCAAAAGACAGGACACTACGCTTACGAGTGTAGTGCCCCTCGTCAGTGTCTCGCGACACTGGGCGTAGTGACCGTCCACCCATGAGAAAGGGGCAGGGACGAGGGTCCGCAGTTGGTGCAAAGACGCAAGCAACGGGATGGACCGTCAAAAAACGGACAGGATCAGTAGGTGCGGAGCACCCTACTGATCCAGCAACGTCAAGAGAATTTGTAGGCCTCTTGATGAAGGTTGCTCCCAACACACAGACATTGTGCGTTGCTGCTCTAGGTAATGAGATCTCACTCATTACCTTGAAACTCGAAGTGACGAATAAGTTGTCCCTTCGAGCTCTAGTCGATTGTGGGGGCGTCCAACAATTTTGTGCGACGCCAATCGCTAGAAGATGGTCACTTTAAATTCAGTGAATGTGACACACCTCCTACGAGGATGACGGTACGTCTTGCGACAGGCGCATCCGTAACCGTCATGAAGCGTATAGTGAAGATTCACTATACGCTAGAAGATACCCAATACGACGATGACTTTATCGTATTGGATTTGGATGACAAATTTGATGTCATCCTTGGAATACCGTGGCTCAGAAGGTACGAACCACGGGTAAACTGGCAACATCGGACAGTAACGATGCCTGCCGCTTGTTCATCAGATGGCCATCTGATGAACGTTTTGGAGCGTCCACAAGCGTGTGGATGTACTACGAGTGAGTGCGATGGCCTCACTTGTGGTACGGTCGTTAGTACGACTGCACAAAACCTTAGTGTACCAAACGGTTACACTTCGGAGCAAAGTTCCGGCGGCTGTGAGGAAACACAGGCTGCGCCGAAGGTCCACCACTCGAATAAGTCGGGTGGACTGGGACAAAGATGTATCCCTAGAGGGGAACATCTAGAAGAGAAACAATCGATCGCTCAGGTTAAGCGAAACGATAATCCTAGATCGACTGGAGAGTCTTTCGTAGAGGATCTCGCTGTGGTTGCGCAACCCCAGCTAGAGGAAGTAAAGGGAATAAGTCCCAAGATTACAAATACGGCGGAAATAAGTTCCCCGAAACCCGCGGGAATAAGTCCCCGGGAAGACGAAGGAATAAGTCCTTCGGAAGCCTGAGGGAATAAGTCCCCCGGAAACCTGACAGGGACATTGAATGGATCATAGTCAATAACGGATCATGTGTAGGCGCTTATACACTTGATCTGATTGCGCCTCCGAAGTTAACTTCGGAGATCACTCAGTTGCCAACGCTCGAACATAAAAGATTCTTGCGTGATCTGCGTAGTGGCAAAGTCAAGCAGATCTGCATACTCGTCGCTGAAGACGAGTATGTAACCGACATAAGGTCAGCAACAGTGTTTACTGAGAACGAGAGAGTTCTCAGTAGTTCATCTATGGACGAGAGTGTCCTAGATGAAAAGACACGAATTGAGCGATATGAGTCCCAATCATGGGAATCGCTCAAGAAAAATCCTCTCTATGAAGATTTGGTTGAATTCAAGGATGTATTCCCTGAAACTGTTCCGTGCGAATTACCGAAGGATAAAGGTATTCGACACGAAGTCGAGCTTAAACCAGGCTCGAAGTACTGTGTCATGAAGCAGTGGCCACTGCCTCGTGAACAAGTACTTGCGATCGACAAGTTCTTTGCCGATCGTTTAGCAGCGAGGCCATGTGAGGGAATCAACTTCCCCACATAGCTCTCCGACCTTCTGTGTGCGAAAAGCAACAGGAGGGTGGCGGATAGTGCACGCGTTTAACAAATTGAACGCTGCAACGGTACCGGCTCAGACGCCGATACCGAGGAAGGACGTAATCATTGATGGTATGTCAAAGAGTACCATCTTTTCGTCCATGGATTTGATGGATGGCTTCTATCAAATCCTAATGCGGAACAGGATATACCCTATACCGCAGTTAGCACGCCTAGCGGCATGCTCTGGGAATGGCTAGTAATGCCACAAGGGCTCAGTAATGCCCCTGCCACGTTCAACAGGTGTGTATCACATCTGTTGAGGCCAGTACGAGAATTCGCGCCGAGTTATTTCGATGACGTATTCATCCATAGTCGAGCTATGGATGGAAAGTCGGACGTTGAGGTTCACAAGTACCACGTCCGACAAGTTCTTACAATCATGCGAAAGCATCAATTGTATGCAAACCTCAAGAAGTGTATATTTGCAGCAAGCGAAATACCACTTCTTGGGTGCATCGTTGGTAAGAACGGTGTACGTCCTGATCCCGAAAAGATCAAGGCGATCACCGACTGGCCTGTGCCGGTCGATGTCAAAGGTCTTCGAAAATTCCTTGGGCTAGCGGCGTATTTGCATAAGTATTCACGCAATTACGCCGAGATGACTGTACACCTCTCTCGTTTGTTGAAAAAGAACGAGAGGTGGTTATGGAACGCTGAATGTCAACGCTCCTTTGAGGGTATCAAGCAGAGCTTGATACAATCCCCAGTCCTAGCAATAGCCGATCAGGACAGGCCATTTCATGTGGTCTGTGATGCCAGCGATTTCGCAATCGGCTGTGCATTAATGCAGTACGACCTTGAAGGCGTTGAACGCGTCGTCTGCTATCAGTCGCGTCAGCTGCAACCAGCTGAGCGGAACTATCCAGTGCATGACAAGGAACTCCTTGCCATGAAGTATGCACTCGCGAAGTTCAGAGTCTATCTATTAGGAGATAGACCCTTCGTTGTTTACACTGACCATGCGTCCTTACGCACGGCAGTGAACAGCCCACACCTTTCACAACGAATGGCGCGGTGGTTGTCATTCTTTGCAGAATACAACTTTACGGTCGAGTACAAACCAGGACGACTTAATGTCGTCGCTGATGCACTCTCACGTCGTCCCGACTTTGAAACAGTCGCGAAACCCAACAGTGAGACAGTCACTGTTGCGGTTATGACGTCCTCAGTTCCATCTACAACGTTGTATGATGATGTGAGGCGGGCATACGCCCAAGATGGTGAGATAGTGAAGTTGTTGTCACATCTCTCCCAACCATCTCGAGAATCGTTGAAACGATTGTCGTCTGCGTATCGATCTGCATCAGATCGATACACTACTCGTAACGGTTTACTGTACTATACAGCCGTTTCTGGTGACACACCACGTGTTGTCATTCCAGATGATACTGATCTGCGTTTGCGGATCATGTTCGAGTATCACGATGCTCCTATAGGAGGACATCGTGGCCGAGAGAAAACATATCTCACGGTAAGTCGAGACTTTTACTGGCCCCGCCAGTATCAGTTTGTGCGAAAGTATGTTCGCGCATGCGAAGTCTGCCAACGAGTGAAGTCAAGTCCTTCACTGCGTGCACCTTTACAGCCTCTACCGGTTCCGGCTGAGTGCTGGGAATCCATCTCAATGGATTTCGTCTTCAGGTTACCCAAAGACGCACGCGGGAATACAGGTATTCTCGTATTTGTTGACAGATTCAGCAAAATGGTACACCTTGTGGCTGTACCAGAGACAATCACGGCAAGTGGCTGTGCTTGTGTCTTTATTGACACCATCTTCCGACTTCATGGGTTGCCCCGTGAACTCGTATCAGACAGAGATCCACGATTCACTGCTGATTTCTGGCGTTCCGTGTTCAAATCACTCGGAACGCGCTTGAAGATGTCAACATCTGATCATCCAGAGTCAGATGGTCAGACGGAACGTGCCAATCGTGTCCTTGAAGAGATACTTCGAGGATACGTACACTCCTTTTAAGAGTTGGAGTGAGTTTTTGCCGATGGTAGAGTTTGCCATCAACAACTCGGTGCATGCGTCCACGACACATACACCGTTTTACGTGAATGGCTTGCGCCATCCGCGTGTACCCACCTTACTAGAGTGTAACTCTGGTTTAAGGGGGAGGGACTCGCGCGAGCAAAAACCGATTTGGTTCACGCTCATCACGCTCTGACGAAGAAGTCATTGCGTTTGATGCCGATATCGATAACATCGATATCGAAGAAGATGATGCCAGTGAGAGTGCGGAAGCCCTCACTGAAGACAATGATCCCAGTGAGAGTGCGGAAGCCCTCACTGAAGAAAAGGTTGTTGTCGCTGCAGTGCGCTCACAGCACACTGAAGCTAACGAGTCATCAGATGAGTTCATACTGGCTCGTGAAACGGTAGTCCGTTTTGTGCAAGACTCCATCGCCGAAGCGGTGGATAAGCAAAAGCAAAACGCTGACAAGAATGGAAGGGCAAACACTCTTTTATTTAATAAAGGTGACTTAGTCCTACTGTCTACGGTTAATCTACCAAAACATGTAGTGACTAACTTGGGTAGCAGTAAACTACTACCCAAGTACATTGGCCCATTTCGTGTATTGCACCGCCTAGGCAATGCATACACGATCGGAGTTACCACGTAAGATGCGAACGCATCCCACGTTTTACGTTGGTCGGCTTAAGCCGTACCATCAGTACGCTGCTTCTTCCGATGAAGAACGCCCTTGCGCTCAAGCATCTCGCAGAGAGCCTTGTGCTCCCGATGGTGGGCATCAACAAGGGTCTGAAGAGCAGTTATCTCAGCCCGAGACCGATCAACAATCCCACGAGCTACCCTTAGCTCGTCACGAGAAGATGTCAGAGATCTCTCGTTCTCAAGCTGAGCAAAGGCAAACTCAGCTCGATGCTTCGAGGCAGTGTCCACCATCTGGAGACGCCTATTCCGCTCATGCTCGAGATCGTCGCGTAACCCTTGCGTTACGCGATCAAAAGCTCTCGGGAACACACCGATCCACATGATCGTGTGGAGAGCGTCTTTCCTCCTCCTCCACCTCCATTAGAGGACTCTCGCGGTGGCCAGCGCTATCTAGTAGAGCAGCTGTTGAACCACCGCGACGTGAACGGACGTCGGACGAGGTTACCTCGTCCGGTGGCGCAACTATCCCCCGTCCTGGGATTCTTGGGAGCCCCGCTCCCAATTGATGGTTGACGTACTGGGTCTGGTCGAGCAGTACGACGCGACACATCCTGTGCCGCAGAAGGACCGCCGGAGAAAGTCTTCCCGGCACGGTCGTAAAGGGATTTCAGGTTGTCAATCCCTTCGTACATCTCAGTAGAGACACGTACGCGCCACCA